GGTAAGTGGCACTTGCTGCTGGATTTTTTTCGCAGCTCTTCAGCAAGCGCCTATCGCACTCGTCACCGCAGCTCTGGCGCCGAAACGGTGAAAGGAAAGGCATCTGAACAGCCGCACGGCTGCGGACTTCTCCAGCTTGGTGTCGACGCTGCCTTGCAGGCAAGCAGCTCTATCCGCCGACCCCAGCGGCTTTGGGTTTTGGGTTTTGGGTTTGGGTTTTGGGTTTTGGGTTTTGGGTTTTGGGTTTTGGGTTTTGGGTTTTGGGTTTTGGGTTTTGGGTTTTGGGTTTTGGGTTTTTTGTGATGGCTCCTTATTGAGAGGCCCTACTAGATGTCTCAAGCAGTGCGGTGAAACAGCGGCATAATGCACGCGTGAGCTTGCTGGAGGCTGGGGCTTGCGATGTACCTTATTACAAAAGTGCCCAGAGGCCAGTCTTGCTGGAGGCTGGGGCTTGCTGATGTACCTTTTTGCTACTTAACCATGCCCAGAGGCCAGATTGCTGGAGGCTGGGGCTTATGATGAACCTTATTACAAAAGTGCCCAGAGGCCAGTCTTGCTGGAGGCTGGGGCTTGCTGATGTACCTTTTTGCTACTTAACCATGCCCAGAGGCCAGATTGCTGGAGGCTGGGGCTTGTGATGAACCTTATTACAAAAGTGCCCAGAGGCCAGTCTTGCTGGAGGCTGGGGCTTGCTGATGTACCTTTTTGCTACTTAACCATACCCAGAGGCCAGATTGCTGGAGGCTGGGGCTTGTGATGAACCTTATTACAAAAGTGCCCAGAGGCCAGTCTTGCTGGAGGCTGGGGCTTGCTGATGTACCTTTTTGCTAACCATGCCCAGAGGCCAGATTGCTGGAGGCTGGGGCTTGTGATGAACCTTATTACAAAAGTGCCCAGAGGCCAGTCTGGGCTTGCTGATGTACCTTATTACTACTTTACCATGCCCAGACGCCAGACGACTCTGAAATAATGTCTCAAACAATGCGGTGATACAACCTCATACAGAGAGCTGGTACATATGGGTGCAGATACCGAAGCCACCTACTATCCTGTAGTAGAGAATCGTATTTCTGTAGCGTTAAGAAAGTAATTTGTTTTTTGCTGCAATATTCTACCAGCTGCTGAATGTGCAATACGAAGTGAAACGATCAGGCAGCAGGAGGCCGCTTCGCCTTTGCCGCTGTGCAAAACGAAGACAGGAACTGGTTGTTCTCGCATTGACCACCATTTCTGTCCAACAGGTAGGGAACCAGAACGCTCAGCGCAGCAGCGTGCTTCCTGACCCTTCGATTTTGTCCTAGCCCCCAGCCAACTCGCGCAGGCTCGTACTTAGTAATTTTGACCACATGAAGCTGGTTCCATTCGGCCAGATATCCGTGCAGACGGGCCGTGCGGGCTGCAGCCTCCTCCTCATCCATCGTCTCCGCATAGTCGTCAAAGCTAGTCATAATCACGTACTTGTGAAGCAAGTTGACGAAATTTTCAGGCTCTTTCTTCCCAGTAATTTGAACCACGCAGATATCACGATCCAACCACATGCCTTCCACCTGCTTGTCAAGCTCGCATCGAAACGCATTCACAGAGGACGGATTCACAGAGGCCGCTGATGGCATCGGTCCGACATGTTTGTCACTAAGCATATCGAACACTTGATACTCTGCTTCCGCCAGAACTGCAATCATTATCATGAAGCTCACGTTGGATCGCGAGCAAAGTAGCCCTTTGCAATACCTTGCCATCAGCGCAGCCTCCATGGCTACATCTCGACCTTAGTTACAAAAAATGGGCCTTTTGGGCACTCTCAACAGCAGGGCCTTGGGAAAGGTACGTAAAAAATAAGCCTTTTGGGCACTCCTCAACAGCAGGGCCTTGGAAAGACGATTAAGAAATTTGAGGGTAGGGTTGGGGCGGGGGGTGGGATAAGCGCGACCGTATTTTAAAAAAAAACAAGCCTTTTTTTGAACTAAGATCCCGACATTGCGTGTGCTTCGGCACATCAGAGAAGTGAAGTCCAACATTTTCGTTGCTTGATAAGATGGCATCGTAAGTGATACAGTCAATGCCCTGACTCACCAACATGTCCTTGATTTCAGCCTTTCTGGTCCGATTGTCTGAACAAAAAAAAGCCTTCGTGCAGCCCAACTTATCCATGTGAGCCTTGATTTTGCCGACTACCATGTCGTTGGACAACGTTGCGTTCTCCTTGGCTTCATCATGAACTTTGTCGGTGAGTCGCAGGTGCACTGCCAGAGTGGTGTTGCCACCCATGCCGATTTTCCTTGCTTCGTCCGCCAGAGACTCTTGAAATGGCGGCGCAAGACCCGTACACTGTTTCACCCATGTCCTAGTGTCTCTCACCTTGTGCTCGTTGAGACCACCATCTCGAGACGGGCCCCATACGCCACTTTCATTCCAAATCAGCTTCTTCGCATCTGGATCAACAAGTTGGACTTTGATGCTCTCATTCTTGGTCCCCCCCACGTGGCAACCGCTGGCCCGGCAACTGTGCACATACTCAGTAAGGCATTCGACTTTTTCTGGTTCCTGCTGCAAGCTTCTCACGTACGGTTGCAAAACGACATCGTCCCACCAACTTGCCTGTGAGCCTGGCGCTGTGAATGAAGCATACAACGAGTTCGCATGATTCAGGTCGATGTACAAAGGCTTTCGCTCTTCACATGAGCGGTTCATGAATCATGGAACACGAGAACTGAAAAAGACAGGCGAAACCATGCAGATTGAGCTCGGTAGGTCGCCAAATCATCAGCTCTATTGGGCTCTCAAGCTTTGAAGTCCTGGTCGATTTCCGCGGAGTGTTGGTGCTTGCAGCGGAACTGTCCGTGCTTGCAGTTGCTCCTTGTATAGAAATGGAACTAGCAGGAGCCAGGCCTTGGTCCAAGTTGCAGCCCCGACTTCACGCCTGCGACGCAACAGGATTGCAATAGTCAGTAGCAAAGCAGCCTCGCCCTGCCTGAACAACACAAAACGCGTACCGGGCGCACACTCCAAGTCAGGAGCAAACTCCGGCCGGGCTTTCAAGGTATCCCCGGCTTTGAGCAACTGCTCACGCGCTGTGAGCAAATGCTCAGGCCACTGGACTCTCACAGAACCTGCTCAGGAGGCAACTAGAATTCAACACTGTCAATACTAGAGGATCGCTCTTGCAGGCCTTCCAGGACGTGCAAGAGTGCAAGGCCATTCAGGTGGAGCCACTGCGTGCCTACGCAGTGGCTCACTACAAATGAGCCCATGCTACGACAAATAAGCCCATGCTACGACAAATAAGCCCATGCTAGGACATGCATGCACCATGCTGTGGCAAGTGAGCTGCCTAGCCATGTCACAGTTGCTTGGACACATGTGATACTCGTAAGTGTAAGACGATGATGGCATGGCTTCCGACCTGCCTCACATTTCCTCAATCGTGCCGGGAGTGCTTGCATTGCCATGGCTCCAAGAGAACAACACAGGGCTGCAAGCGACAGGGCTGCAAGAGTGAGGAACTGCAGGACTTGGGCAGTCCGACGCGGACATGCTTGGCGCCATGGTCTGAAACTTCGCGCTGCTTGAGAAGAGCTGGCACCGCTTGCAAGAAATTGACGCGGCTTGGCAGCCTACTTCCATGTTGTGGGCCTTGTTAGGATCGCCCTTCTGACCATCCTTGTCCTTACCGTCTCCCGTAGGATGTGAGTCTTTGGTCCCTTTTGGGTTGCCGCGGGTTGCCCTTCTCTGCAACCGACTATATTTCTAGCCTCTTTACCTTGGCTTCGGACACTCCGATCTCCATGGAAGTTCAAAGTACGGAGTCGACGGTGCAGAAGCTGAGATCCAAAAGCGGTGCCATCACCACACTTCCACAATTTCTTGCCGGATTCATGTATTGCACGATGAATTCTCGCATCGCCTTATACGTTTTCATACGTTGTCTAAAGGGCGGCTTCATAGCAATCTGTGGGGCGAGGGTAACATCGGAAAGCGTCGCGAATCCGCCGAGGCCTCGGGGATGTAATTAGGCCGTAGGTGTCTGGGTAGCACAAAGCGAGTCTGGATTCACGTGCGTAATTCGCCTTCCAACTCTTCGGCCGTGCATCCGCCTCCAACTCCAAGGTTCGATGCTGTTACGTTCGGGAACCAACATGACCAAAGCGGGGATTTCTTCGGCTTTGACACAGTCCCACAAGTCTTGCCATAGAGGTCTGTGCAAAACCTTGCAGCCTGATCTAGCAATAAGTTGGCGAAACCTCAAGAGCCGTTTCTGGGAAACCCACGCCGACTCGGGACCGTTTCAAGTTTATAGTTTCACCTCTTGGATCGGCACTGTTGACCCCGAATACCCGCAAAATCGATCCCGCGGTTTTCGTTTGTGTGCTGCTCGCAGCTAACAGGGTAGTGGCAGATTGTGCAACCGAAAAATACCGAAAATGACAATGCGGCATTGGTTGCTTGGGTTTGTTGTTCCAATGCAGCGCGCGTGTTGCCAAGCTCTTGCTGCTGCGAGGTAAGTTGAGCAGTGAGGTGACAACAAATTTGCAAGATGACAATTGCTCTAATTGTTTAAAAACACCAAAAGGCAACACGCTCACATGGCCAGGGCATGGAACGAAGCAATCGCCGTTGATGAGCAGGATTTTCCCATGCGTGCGCAGTCGCCAACAGATGTCAAAGATCCAGTGCCAGCAAGAGAAGCTTTGTAAAAACATGTCCATCAGTTGACTTTGTTTTGCCATTCGGTGGGACAACCACATTGGACGCACATTAAAATTTTCCGAACGTCATGCCCCAACTTCCTTGAATTGTGTCAGCCTGCCAGGCCCGAAGCGCCAGTTTCGCTTTAACAAGCAGAGTTGCCAAATTTACTGCATTCTGCTGAAAGCACGTCGCGTGCTCTTTGATTCCAATCGTGAAAAAACACGTTGCCATGGCACATGGCTGGACTGTAGACGATTCCCAGCTGGAATGTTTTAATACAGTTCAGTTTGTCGAGCAATCAACAGCCAAGCCTGCAGCTGATATCACATCTTCAGTTCCAAACGGCCCTCCGGCGACGGAGTAGTAGATGATGGCCACCTCGATTGGAGCCACTGCATGCCACTGCTATACACAAGCTCGGTTCTTTCTTCATGTGCAGAGGTGAGGCCAGGCCAGGCATCGACAATGACCGCAACCTCGCCGGCTGCCTGACCAGGCAGGATTTCTTCAAATCGGCTATAGGAGCTCTTTTGGTTTATCTGCATATCCACAGTTGGATGCTTCAGGGGCGTAGTCCAGGTTTTTTTTTTGTATAGCTACCCGTCAATTCGGTTATATTCGGTTTTGGGACAGGATTGGGTTTGAAATTCTGTCAGGGATGTCCGTAACTTTAGCCACAGCAGAGGATGCAACTTATTGCACCAGGACCACTGCTCTTGGCCCGCACCTTGACTTCTTCCGCGATTTTGGGGCAACAACACTGGCCCTCCGTACCCCAGCTCACACTCAGGCAGCCCCAGTGTTATTAATAATAGAAATCATATACATCTATGTATATATATATATATACGTTATGCCAATAAACATTGAAAAATCACTTCGCTTAACGTATACAGCTTGTAGCTTCGTGTCGCTTCGTGGCACGCTTTAACTCTCGCAAATCGGCGAAAGCGCCTGCAGCTTTCCCGCCTTGCCATTTTCGAGCACCGAATCGGTGAACTCGGCGGCCGAGCATCCACTGAAAGCGCACCCTGCACACAGAGTGCAGGGCAATGCATGCAGTGCACACTGAACGCAATCTCCATCATCGTCCATGAACATGCTTCAGCTTCTCTACATTGTCGAATTATCAATACTGATTCATGTGCCTTGCTGCCGTCTGCGAGGTCGTGCACTGTGCAATGCCACCGATGTTGCTGCGAATACCATGGCCAACTGGGACGCCACTTCCAAGGGATGTTCAACTCCCCAAGGTGAAAGATTAATCTATATCTTTAGAGTCTTAGAGCGCAAAAAATTGATTTAATTTCAAATCATACGAGCATGTTTGCAATTAGGGTACACAGCCTCGTCTTGGCACAAGCTCGAACGTGTGTCATGCCTCTGAGCTATGCCTGCGGTGAATGTTCGCAACTTGGCCCGGTGAGCGACATGTCAGCCACATCTGAGCCACCAGAGCCTTGGAGCTTGAAGTGGCAGGCCACCAAGCCAAAACAGCTGCAACAGTCAAACCCCAATGATATCGAGGGTGGGTGAGGTTGGGTCAGTGTGAGGCCACAGCTCATGTTCAAGCAAAATGCCGCGGGCATCGGATGAGCCCGACTCCGTACGCACTCAAGAGAGGCGAAAGCATGGCGAAAGCCATCGTGACTTGCGGCGGTTCCGGATATTAGATTATGTTGGACGTGCAAGAACTATACATGTATGAGCATGACGCCGATAGGAAGACCTGGATATGAGATTCTGACAAGGGCAAGTGAATGCAAGCGAGGTTCCTGTGCCGCCCATATCCCACACTGCTGGATAGGCACTGCGAACAGTAACCCGTCCGAGATGATCAGATCCCGAGTGAAATTACGAAATTACGGCTGATGATGCGGATTTTAAGAAGAGGCGCAGCTGCAGCATATTCGAAACGACGACACGGTCTGTTAACAGTTAACAATTGGAGAATAGGCCGCGTCCTCACTCTATTATAAGATATTATAGGCTATTAATTCAGCAGAAAGCAGGCAGTTGTCCACACGCATGCCCCGGTGGCCCAACCCCATCCCCGACTGCACGAGAAAGCGTTGGCACTTGCCACATCTTGCCATCGTATGAGACAGCACCAAGACACGCATGCACGCAAGCACACGCGGACATGCACGCGCACGCGCGCACACGCGCGCGCCCGCACACGCGCGCGCACACGCACACGCACCCGACGCACACAAACATACGCAAAACTACACAGACATAATACATATACACACACACATGCCCGAGCGCGTACACGCACACAAGCCCGCGCGCGTCCGCACACGCGCGCGCACACGCACACGCACCCGACGCACACAAACATACGCAAAACTACACAGACATACATATACACACACACACATGCCCGAGCGCGTACACGCACACAAGCCCGCGCGCGTACTCACATGCGCACACACACACACACACACACACACACACACACACACGTGCGCGCGTACACGCACACACGCACACACGCACGCACGCACGCACGCACGCACGCACGCGCGCACGCGCGCACGCGCGCACTCTCGCGCGCGCGCACGCGCGCACACGCGCGCGCACGCGCGCACGCGCGCACGCGCGCACACGTACAGGCACACGCACGCGCACGCGTACACGCACACACCCACACGTGCATGTGGGCGCGTACGCGCGCGCCCACACGCGCCCACACGCCCACCCACCCACCCACCCACCCACGCACCCACGCACGCATGGCACGCACGTGTACGCACGCGCACGCACACAGCGATGCACCGAAGATGCACCCGCCAGAATTGAAGAGTGGACCACTGGTAACTCAGTGCCCGCAAGCTTCAAAGACGACCCAGTCAATATGCTTCAATATCACCTTGCCGACTGGGAGCCTGCTCCCAAACCCATGCTGAGCGTGTGCTGCGCCTGTGGCTTTTGCGCAGCGCGTCGCCACCGGCATCCTGACACGTTGGCATGAGCACTTTGTCACATGCAACGATGTGCCACAGCGAAAAGCATACACCCAAAAGGCAACATGGTACACGCAGGGCGTCGTTGCGACATGGCATCAGGACAAGCTGCGCACGCTATGCACCATAGCACCATGCAGGGAAGCACATTCGTAATGTTTTGGGTTTCAAGTCTAGGCTTGGGTATGCTCGGGCATGGTCATCGCCAGATGCATTTAAGCCTGGAAGCCAGCATCTGCACAACACAAGGCCTCTTCGGTTCTGTCTGCCATATATGCACACTGCACATGCGTGGCACATGCGTGGAACATGCGTGGAACATGCGTGGCACATGATGGCATCCGTGAGCTTCGGAGTGAGCTTTGGAGGGCCCGGCCAGGCCAAACCGGGAGAGCGGCTCCTGGGTTTCTGAAAGCTTCTTTGGCATCTTGTCAAATCTGTTTACAGGTTTCAATTCCCCACAATGCCCCACCGCATACGCCTAGGCAATCTTTCGATGGTTCCCCTTCGAGATGTAAGTTTGCGGTGGGCAGGTGAGATGGTCTACGCAGGGCGTTAGGTAAACCCTTCACGCACTTGGCAGACATTGATGATGACACACACACACACACGCACACAAACACACTTCGGATCTCCCTACACCTGCAAACACGACTCACACGCGTTTAACATATACATCTTCCACTTCTTCTACAGGTAGCAGAGATGTGGAGCTCCCCACCATAGAATCCGCTGAGGCCTCGGGCCGGAGGTGTATGGGTTGCCCAAGCCCAAAGCCACGCTTGCTTGGGGAACCTTGAACCCTAAACCCAAAAACCCAAACCCCAAACCGTGAACCTTGAGCCCTAATTAAGCCCTAAACTAACCCTCAACCCTAAACCCCAAACCATAAGCCCGGAACCCTAAACCCTAAACCCTAAACCCAGTCCAGCGACTTGGGCGCTGCGGAATCGCTGCGGAGTCAGGCCGAGGCGGGTCGCGTAGCGTTAAAATTATGGTTATCGAACAGCCACTGAAACTCAGAAAACCTTGCCTTCCCCATTTCTTGCAGCTGGCTGCACTGGGCTCTGGGCTCGGGGAGGGGTGCGGCGAGGTCAGATCGATGTGAAGGGTCTCCCAGCCGGCTGAGGCAGCGGATACATCGGCGCCTTTTGGGAATGCTTCAAAGCATATCATTGGCCAGCCGCTAGCGTTCCATCATTCGGGGAAGAAGACGTAATAACATATGGAAGTCCAGAGACCTGAGAACATCTGAGCTCTGGGGTGCTTGCACTGCACGCTGGGCTGCGCGACAACTGAGCAAGGCAAGGATAAACAGCAAACACCTGCATCATGCAATTAAACAGGAGCTATAGGGACGAGGGGCACAAGTCGGCACGCACGCGCGCAAAAACGCTCTTGAATGGGTCTCAAAGCCGCAGGCAAGCTCTGCTGCCGCCGTGCAGGTTGTACCTTGGGCCGCCGAGAAATTTCAGAAGCCAAAGAACAAAAGCAAGATCAAGAGACATCAAGAGACATCATTGAGCATCACAACACACGCCAAGCCAAGCATCATGCCAATGGAACTTCGTCGTTTGTGGTGATGTTGACCTCGCGGTGAAAGCTCTATTTATCATGATGCCAGGGATGCAGAGCCTGCTTCCATCATAAGCGCCACAGCTTGAGAAATGAACAAAAAACACTAGACTACACTGCAACAATACTGTAGAGATATTATGTCACTGTAGAGTTGAAGGATTGAGGCTGGGTTCACCTGGTTGAGCGCCAGTCGCAACGCACAGGTGCAATATCCGGACTCCAACCTCGTCTCCACTAAAGGTGCCCTCTGCCTGCACAACAGCAAACCATGGCTGTCTTTGCAGGGGTTTTGTGAGGTTTGGTATGAGCGCGATTTGGGTCTTCGAAGGGTCTTCTCGGGCATTTCGGGCACCTCATCAAAGCTGCTGGCGCTCCGCGTGCTGCAGGTGCTCGAGCTGAAGAACGCCTCCAGAGTTTGCGATGCTTCTGCCATGATATACAACATTACACAGCTCCTTACCGGGGACACTAAAGCAAGTCCTATTTCCTCATGAGACCTACTGGAAGGGATACTAAAGCGAATCCTGCGGTGGGACGCTAAAGCAAATTCTGCTTGCTCATGAGACTTATTGGGTGGGACGTTGAAGAAAATCCTACGGTGGGACACTAAAGCAAATCTTGCTGCCTCATGAGACCTATTGGCTGGGATACTAAAGCAAATCCTGTGGTGGGTCATTAGAGCAAATCCCGCATCCTTTTTGGAATCTACTGCGTGAGACACTACAGCAAATCCGGCACTGGGATACTAAAGTAAATCCTGCTTCCTCATGAGACCTATTGGGTGTAACACTGAAGCAAAATGTGCTTGCTCATGAGACTTAAAGTTAATCTTGCTTCCTCATGAGACTTACTGGGTGGGACACTAAAGCAAATCCTTTGGTGGGGCCCTTCCGGTGCCCGTTTTCAAACTTCTTCTTCGGATGTTTTGGATGTTGTGTCGAAGACGTAAGCCTCGCCAGTTGAATTCGGAACCTACGGCAGTTGCATGGCAAGTGGTCTTGTGCGCTTTCGGGCTCCTGTATCTTTCTCACTCGTCTTTCAGAACGATTGTCGCTACTGAGAAGCCACGAGAAGCCCTGGAAGTCGCAGAGGCCTTGGTAGCCTTTGTATGGGTACAGAAAACAGGGACATTGATTCGTAAGCGTGCTGTGCGCAGTGCTGGCGTTCTGCCTGACCGTGTCCTTCTGTCCGTGTCTTTCTTAGTTGGGCGCAATGGCACCAGCAAAGCCACTGCAAAGCACAGTGAGGTGTGTTACATGTGTTTGCGTCGGCTTGTGCCGACTGTGCCGATATGGCATGACACATGCTGTGGCATGGGTGCTCCGCTGCGGTCGTTGCTGAGTTGCTTGACGGTGTTGGCATTGCTTCTGTGCGACTGCTGATGCAGCTGCCGCCGCCGCTACAATGTGTACTGCTTCTCTTGTCAAACAAATGAAAGGTATGCATCAACTTGAGCATTCCTGCGTGAGAAGGCTTCAACTTTACACGGCGTGCTCTCCACACACGAAGCCTATGCGAGCCTACGATTTTTTGCGCATCCAGATAGGCAAACCTGTGCGCGAAACGTACGTGGATGAATGAAGGAGCCTGCAAGCACAACGTGAACCTAATAATAATCACGCAGACAGACTATCAAAGGACAGGGCCCGATGGTACAAATGTCAACATACACGCAATATTTCAGCCTTTTTTTCGAGTCCAACGTATTTTGTATCACTGGTGGTTGAACACTCAACTGTCGACTGTCCTACAAGACAAAGGCACATCTAAGCATTGGCAAGATCTGGAGAGCACCGCAACAACTGGCCGAGAGCTCCACCTTTGACATGCTTCTGCTTGCTGCCGCCAGGATCGCCCTGGAGCGAAGTTCCCCAAATCTTGGACACTACAGTAGCTGTCATTATAGCACTCTGGACAGCTCAGCACTGAGGACGGCGCAGCGTGCCGGATTTTGAATTTGCCCGCTTTCCCGGCACATCAAACCTGCAGGAACATCGGAACGATTGCTCGCTTTGAGAACGGGAAAGACATGGAAACATCTGGATGCCCAAGGCTAGCCAAATGTGAACCCCGAGGGCTAGGCCACCACCTCGGGCACCTGGAATATCGAAGTACATCGAGCACAGTTGCACTTTGCTAGTTTCCAAGTCTGCGTCCGAAGCCATACTGCCACGGCACAAGGAAGTGCAAAGGGACTTGAGGCTAACAAAGAGATCGTTTGCATCTGGATTGCTCTGAGGCAAAGCGCCATGGAAGAATGTGCTCCACCCACAACTCCAACGGAACCAGCCCAAGGCCTCCCAGTGCGTTCGTCCTCTCTAACTTTCTCAGCTGACTTGTAGAGACTCGTAAAATATTGATACACATTGATACTTGAAAGTGAGCGATTCTTGCGCTGCACTCTCAGGGCTCCACCTGAAGCTTGGTTCTGCATGAGGACTGCAGCCACTTGCCTGAGGCCAGCAGAACCAGAGGCTCGTGTACAAGCCCTCAGATTGTCACAATGTGATTACGCTGTGTTCAACTGTGTTCATGTCCTGAGTCGGCCAACAGCAAAGCCACAACTATCCAGCCATCAACTGCAGTATGCAACTTGGCGCCTGAAGCTGCGAGGGTAGGCCCAGTTTCGCTCAACGCTCCAGGGCTTCTGGCGCAACGCAAAGGAGAAGGGCCTCAGCAAATCTCAGCAAGTTGCATTGGGATGGCGAAGATACCTCACGCTATGTTTGGATCTGTCGACCTCAAACATCCTCCAGAGGCCCTGGATGTTAGTGTTGCCTGTGGAGGATGATGCAGAGCTTGCAAGCACAAACATCTCCGGATGAAGATGCAAGGTCTGAGCTGCTCGTATGATCTACAGGCCCAAACCTTCAAGTTTTTTGTCGCTTCAACTTCTTAACCCAGCCATGCAAGCGAGCTCTGGAAGCGCGGCTGAAGCCTGCAGATTACCCACGGCTGTTATCAATAGCCCTTGTTTGTGACACCGTGTGTGTGTGTGTGTGATTGTGTGTGCGTGCGCTGTGAGCCCGAATGCTTTGGTGGTCAATTTGCGGCTGTTTCGCTAAATGAAATCGAATATCCTTATTCTATGGGCATTGTCGGGATCATGCAGAACTTGCCACTCCAGGGATACTCTGCAGCATTCCTGGGCAGGAGTTAAAACCTAACAATAGGGTGGGAAGTGATTGATCCACAGCACTCTTGACACAGGCTTCAAGCTGAGGCGGTTGCACTCCGGGCAGGCCAACGACCTGGGAGGAATGGTTTCATTCGAATTTGAGGAAGAATGCAGGAGAACTTCTCATGCAGCTCTGATTCCACCAGAGCCTAAACCTTCAGGCCGTTTGCCGTTGATTGCTGCCCGGTTTTATGGGTTCTCCTCTGAGGCAGCGGCCGGAAGGACGCCGAGAGGTGCAGGTGCCTCTGCAGCGGGGAGGTGAAAGCGAGATCGCAGCACTCCCGCCCGCATCTCATCATAAAATCTTTCGCATGCTGATGACTACGCGTGCACGGTGCACAAAACATTCAACGCGCAGGCCCAGGCATCCAAGCCTGTAAACTGTGCCTGTGGCTTTCAGCATCTACTTGTTTAATGGCTGCGGCTCTTGGAGATCAGCGGACATTGGCACGCCGCACAACTCACGAACGGCAGCGAACCAACTAAAATCAAGCACAACATCGGTGCAAATTCTGGTTGCAAAGTCTTCCTCGATCCACAACTGCCGTGCTTGACTTCGCCGACTGTGTGTCTGTCTATGCTACATTAACATATGCACATATATATATATATAAGATGTCGTACATTTCAACAATTCCATCTCTTTCAGAGTTTCCAGCCGAGACATCAGCTGAGGCTGCCGCATCCAAGTCACCTTTGGTTGCTTCAGAAAGCGCTCCCGCTGATACGCTTATGCAATCTTATGCACACAACATGACATGATCGCTGGTATCACACTGCAGAAGCCGGTCATTCATCCACTCATAGCCTTCGTTGCTTTCCAAAGTGTCCCAGGCATTCGCGACCCTATCGGCAAACCGAGGTCCGGGCTGATTTCTTGAGTAGCTGGCGGCCTCAGGAAGATTCGAGCCGACATGAAAGGATCATACAGGGATTCACAGGTATGCAGGATCACACCGAAGCTTGGCAACCAGGCTCAACCAGCGATGCGAAGTGGACGGAGTTTAGCACTTCGATCTTGAAATGCGCCTGCTGACTGCAGGCGGTAACTCCGAAAGTCAGGGTGGAGGGCATGGTAGTGCAGAATCAAGAACTCACATTCAACTTGTGCATGGCCTCTGATTCCCGGACCACCCTTCGCAACCTTTGCTGACAGCTGTGCGAAATTTGTCAGTTTGATGCGCGTGAGGCTATCATGAGACCATTGATGCTCAGTAATGCATATACCGCGAGCGAGCCGCTGCTGCGAGTGGCCGGACTGGAAAGGGCCTTGCTGCTCCAAATTGCGGACGGCACCCGGGAAAGCACCATCGGATGAAACTGCTCTGACATTTTCGAGATCTTACAAACGCACATGCAAATCCGAGGAGTGTGCCCACCAACACTCCGCCCACCTGCAGACTTGACAACAGTGCAACCACCGCTGTGATCCTCGCAGCTTCAGTGGTTTCAGCATGTCTAAGCTGCAGGTTGCCAGTTGAAAATGCAGAACCATGACAAAGCCCATGTCACAGCAAAGCCAAGAGAACCCTAGGCCCTAGCCTTCTGAAGCTCTGAATGCGCTTGCAGCAAACTCGTGAATTGTCGTCACAAGCTGAAACAGCTGCAGATAGCTACAGCCTGACGCACCATGTATCTGCCTATCTTGCAGTTCAGAACTGCCTCCAGGAGGCTGTACAGGTACTGCGCACCTCGGTGAAACTCGGTCAAAAGTGCAGAGTTTTCTCAAACTACTCAAAATAACAATATACAGCCTCAATCGTGGACATCTTGCTACGATAGGCTGACAGCAACATGCAGCAGAACCAACGCAATCCTTCGTGTCTACATTTTCTTATCCGTGATATGCGCGTGACGGAAGCAGGTAGTCCCAGCTGAGGCCACAAACGCGGGCATGCGCAAGCTCCGATCTTAGCATTGCTGGACGCGTGCGGAGCAAGAAGCCCTCGACTGCCGAAAGCAATGCCCTTCTTATGGAATAGTGCAGTGGCAGTTGCTTTCCGCCCGCATTTTGCACCCTTCCGTTTGTGCGGTGCATTTCTATATAACTATACATCCTGCTTATCAGGTACTGAGTGCCTGAACAGGATCCTTCAAAGAAGTCGACTTGACTTGAAGACTCCAGTGACTCAGTGAAACAGCATCGCTCCATTGGCGCCATATGCCACGTGTTGCACCATCACTTAAGCGGATCGCAAGAAGTCAACCTCAACGGAAGGCCATGGGACATAGAAACAAAGGGCACAGGTCGAGCTAACACAACGGGAACCGGCCGAGCACAAAGATACTCTTGACTGGGTGATTATGGCCCCCCTTATCAGCATTTTCGAGAGTTCCTGCCCAGAGACCTATAAGCATCATCCATCCGGCAGAGGCCAATCTCCGTGCTCCTCATGGCGTTCAAGGGCAAATCAAGGAAGTCTGCTCTGCTGAACGTAGGGTGTTCCAGAAGAGAAAGCTTGCCCTTTCTACACCTGAAGACACTTGACTGCAAAGCCTCAGTTGATTCAGAATTTGTCAAGCATCCACTTGCAGGCTGCAGCGCTAAAGTTTGGCGCTCCAGACCTCAGAGGAGCAGCAGCAGAGGATCTGCAGCACACGATACTGTGCCAACACATCTACATGTCAACACTGCCAAAACGCGGCCAACAAGTACCAAAATTGACATACGATTCCGGAACTCATTGTGAACCTTCATCGCCACTCCCTATGACCACATCCTTGCCGGACTCTAGAGGCCGTGAAACAAACTGAGTTCAAAGACTGGTTCAGCTTATGGACGTCATAGGACTTGCTGCACTTCACCTTCTTCATGGCACAGTGACTCTTACACAGCTCGAGAGACTTGCTCATCTTGTTCAGTGGCCAATGCTGAAGATGATGAGCCCTCAAGCCTCGTCAGTGACGTCGTTGCAGTACTGCACCTGCCCATCCAGCACAAGCGAACAGCTGGCCGTGAACATTCTTACTCTTACACCATGGATTGAAGTAAAGTTTGCTGTGAACTACACACACACCCACACCACCGAGACACAGAGACGCACAAACACACACACACACACACACACACACACTCTATCACATAGATATAGATATAGATATAAATATTGATATAGATAAAGATATTTATTTAGAAGCATACATATATATATATATATTCCAGATTGAGATAGTGAACCCCCGCTCCAAACTCACCTCGGGTATTGAAATGTTAATTCCTGAAGTTTGTGTTCGTTTTACATGCCCCTTTCGAATTCAAACGGGGCCCGGGAACTAAGATCCAGGGAAATCTTGGAGCCAGGGCACGGGTCTGCTTTAGCTTTTATCAAACCGAGGCCCTTTAGCCAATGAACCAAAATGCCCACCAAGTTTTGGGGCGATTCTTGGTCGCCGGATTTGGACTCTTTGTCATTAAACACTCCGCTTCAATTCGCCCCAATACTTTCTGAGAGTCTTGGTTCTTGGTTCTTGGCGGGCCCACGTACGGGAACCCAAGCTTTCCTGGAAATCTTGGTTCTTGGTTCTTGCAACTTTATACTGCTAGATTCAAGGTACCTCTCCGGATTCGGCACTTGGCCAGCACTGGTTTGCTGCTTTTCCCTCCCTATGGGCAGAATCGGTTGGGTTTTGGTCTGACGGTTTTGTGCTGCTCTTCCCTCCATACGGGCTGAAATGGTTTCATGTGAACATACCTTGGATCTTGGGCCGCATTTGGTTGAGTGGGTAAACACTGGGGCAATTTGGACCTCAGCCTGTGATTTCAGTTGTAACTGCCAGTCAGTAGCATGAAAACAATTTAATCAGCTTGGACAGCCTTAATGCCGTTCAAGAAAACGAATCAGGTATGCCATTTATGGCTATTTTTACTTGAGGAACTAGTAAATTAGGGGCATTGGTCTATACGTTCTGAATGTCAAATGGATAAAAGAAATATTCTTGTTAGAGGCCATGTGTTTTGTACATCAACGAATCGATCCAGTAAGCAGTAGAAATGCGATAAAGAATGTGCCCCTGATTACTGGACTTGCTCGAGTCAAAATCTGAACCCCTTCCTCAAAAAGAGGCCTGACTCACACCTTGACCCCCCACCCCCACCTAATGTACTTACTCTGCAACTAAATGTGAAGGGAGGGGGTCGGTGAGAGTCTGCCTCAACGAACGCCACCATTGTAACAATACATTAACGGGCCATGTTGTAAAATTTGGTAAAACGGCAACTCATGACAACACTCGATATTGTGAGGTAGTGGTAGTTTGGCTGTAACCTGCCGTTGCGGTGATGACTCTTGCGTGATTGAAATCAATATCACCGAAAAAGGTCACTACCCAAACATGTAGACCAGGCACCTGGCCCGACTCCTGAAGCTGGTCCAAAAGGGTTTTAGGCGAGTGTAGCACTTTGTATAGAGGGCAAATACTTTACTGATCTTTACTGCCATATGTTGGCTTATTGAAAAGACTAGGGCGTTGTATTTCAATTATGCGAAGTTGCTTTCGGTACGGTGCATTAGGATTGGCGTTGGGGTCTTAAACGGTGGGCTTTGGAGGGGTAACATACACAATCACATGTGTATGTATATATATATATATATACATATATGTATATGTATATATATACATATATATATATATATATTCAAGTATGTTTTACTTATATATATATAGACATATTACTGATGTCTTCGTAAGTATTGCACGCTCTTTGACTCGTGGCAAGCAAATAAAGCACAGCAGCCTCCTCTCTGTTCTCGCGGAACTCCGCACAAAGTAGAGACCTTTCATTCGTGGTGTTCGGGCAGATCCCCACTTCCCATCGCCGTCCGTAGTTTAGGGTTTTGACAAGCAACAGCTCCGCTTACGGATTCGCACCTCCCATGTTCTTTGTCCTTCTAGGGTTTTTAACATTCCTCATCTCCTAATTGTTGGCCGCAAGCGAAAAGGGTGAAGACAACTGTGCTTGTACGGGCACAGACAACCCCTCTTCATGCAATCACTTGCGCCTATCTAGTGGCGTGTGCATGCATGATTTCCTGTGGGAGCACTGCTGCAGGCCAGTCTATAGCTGTACAAGTTGTCCCAGCAAGCTGAGGTTGCTGTTTGCAGCAGCCAGTTTGAAGCGTGCTTTTGAGGCAACTGTCGCTCTTGAGCAGCTCCGAAATAGACAGCAGGATGGAGTACATAGGTATTTCGGAGGTAGGGAAACATCAGGGTGTATCTCTTGGAAAGCAGGTGGGAGGCAGTGCAGACGTCATGCGGCAGAACCGTCCTTGGCACGACTCAATCTAGCTCCTTGTTCTTGCTTGGAAGCCTGATCCATGCAATGCCGACATATGCCGACCCAAGGTACTGGGGACCAAAGCAGACAATCCCGCACGGCAGATTTGCCGTTGGCCGCTGGAACTACTCCGGCACCGAATACGCCATGCAGGAGCCCATGCAAGCCTAGACACTCGCAACAATCCGATTTGAGACCTGCTAGCATTGCAGCAGATGTCCGCAAATCTATAGTCGGCAAATAAAACGTGCATACCGTGCTGCATTCCTGTAATTCAAACAAGCTCATGTTCGCCTTCAACTACGTGTCGCAGAAGAGCTTAAGGCTTAGGAGAGAATTGTAGTAATATAGAATGATTTCTAAGAGCTCTCCAAATACTCCAAAAAAGAACCAAAGGCACGGACAGAACAGTTCAGGAGCGCTCCCGAACTTGTTGTGGCAACAGCTTGGCTGTTCACACGTTCATGCTCGCACCAGGCAGCACCAACACCCCAAGAAATATGCCATCCCATTGCCACCCTAGCACCTTGCTGAATGAGGCTAGCCTAATTCACCTTACAGGCTTGGTCTGTCGGAGAAGAGCGCACTCCGAAGAGCACTCTCTTTCTGACTCCAGCTTCGCTTCAAGAGGCGAGGCTGCTAGATGGAAAGTGGTAGAAGGTGGTCCTCCTCAAGGCAAAACGCATTCAAAGAGAAGCCATTGCTGTGCCAATGCTGTTGAATGGCCAATTTGTAAGACGTGTGGGGGATGGGAGGAATGAAAGCTAGTGCAGTTGCTCGAGAAGCCACGGGAACAGCATTGATCGAACAGACAGTTGACTACCCGGTGCACGGTCGGTCTACTCCTCGCCCATCACCCCTATCCCACCCTAAGGCATCGCCAGAGAATCCCTGGATCCCCTAGAGAACCTTTAGCAGTCGGAGTGCAACCCAGCGTATCTCCAAAAATCCGTCGAGTGCCCAGCCCCAAGCCCATCCTCAGAGAATGCCTGGACTGCCCAACCCCAGAGAACCCCTGGACCCAGAGTAGAGTGCCCTGCCCCGAGCGCTTTTTCTCACAGAGTTTTTCTGGGAGGCCCGACCCAGAGAATCCCTGGAATTCTTTGGAGCGTCCAACTTTGGAGTATCTGCAGAGAATGCCTGGAATGCCCAACCGCAGAGTATTCTTCAGAGGGAGCAATTAAACTCACCCGTACACTGTTTCGAGAGGCCATGAAGTTCCATGAAGGCAGACACCGCACCTCGAAGCCTCTCAACACGGCGTTGGACACCGAAGCCAGGTGGGGAACGCTCCCCAATTTGGGCCCCAGCTGGACCCCTCCCCACACCCCTGTGGTTTAACCTTACGTTTGGTAGGCGACTCGGCCAGCCCTCAGAGGCTGGCTTTCGTTACTTCGACTGGACATCTCCATAACTAGAGAATGTGACGAGCCATCTTGGATCAATCCAAGACCTGCCGGAATGAACCCGATGCCTGGCAAATGATGGCGCCTCGGGACCTAGCCTAATGATGTCAAAACTCATTATTTGGAAGCTGGCTGAGGTTGGGCATGTCGGTTGAAAGATGTATGCGGGAATTCTCGTGGTTCCCAGACAGAGAGAGAGACGTGTTCACATGTCTTCAATCTCCGAGCA